GGCCCACATGTGAGAGAATGGGTCTGTGTGGTCAGTGTGCACCACAAACAAAATCCTGCAGCACGCAGTGCATAACGAGAAAAAAAAACTCTTGACCGTTTTTTTGGATTAAAACGCCGACTTTGAGGTGTATTTTCGTATAGTATTTATCATTGTATTCTCGTTTTCATGGTCTCAGGTGATAAAATGGAAAACATATTACAGAAACAGAGATGATTTTCATTACTTTCACGATGAAAATGACCTTGAAATTGAGTTCAAAGTAGCAGAAATGTTCGATTTTTACCAATGTTCAGGAGTAAGCAAATTACACCACACATCCAATACACGTCAACTGGGGAGTCTAATATTCTTTCACTAGTGCACTGATATTATTTATACCATTTTTACAATAATGCATTAGTTTGCATAACAGTAAATTTTGTGTTTTGTTTGTGTGAATAAAAAATCAAAATAGAAAGCAATAGTAATATACGAGGGGCCTAGAGACGTGACTAATGAACAGAGAATATGTTATTTTAGTGCCAAGAATGTCTACATTGTTTATTCTGGACCCTATTTTGAAATTGGCATCTTTTTTAATTTGCGTGAAATTGACCAAATTGCCAATTTCTGACCACTTTATTAGGTAGTTCAGATCGGTAAATGGGCAGTTTCTTGTACTCAACTGATAGAAAAAATGGAGTTCTAAAGAAATCGCTATGAGTTTGGTCAACTGAAGCAACGGAACTGGCCAAAAACAGGGGCTCAAAGTCGGCGAAATTGCCGATGAATATATGTCGCCGAGACCGCTAACTTCGTGGGAGCATAATTCCTTGAGTTTTCAACCAAATTTCGTACTTTTGGTGGCATTACCATTGGGAAAAGATTCTCTATCATTTCATAAGAAAAACTAATTTTTTTTTTTCCAAAACTTTTGCAACATAGAATGACAGTTTCAGAAAGGGGCTTGCGGCAGTCAAAGGGTTAATAATCTTGCCCCTTCCATTTAGTTTAAAGCTGAATGGGAATCTAATTCCTTGCTTCCTTTCCTTGATGTTCATGTCCACCACTCAGATACAGATTTTGTTTTTCAGTGTACCACATGTACATTCACTACTTTTCTCATCATGCTTCCTCTGTCAAGAAAAGTGTTATCTCCCTCTTTCTCCGTGCCCTCCGCATTTGTGATCCTCAGTTCCTTCAATCAGAAATTTCCACTTTTCGTAATTAATTTTCCTGTCTTGGCTACCCTTCCCATTTCATAGACTGCCTTCTCATGTGCTAAATGGACTTTCTTCTCTCCCAAACTCTCTACTCTTGGGAACACTCCTGTCCTCTGCCATCCCTATATTTCCAGTCTCTTTAATCTCAACAACTCTCCATTCCTTAAGACATTAAGCTTACTTTTCACCAGACTAACACCCTTTGCACCAATCTAGTTCATACCCTCCTCCCTCTACAGATGCTCCTGGTGTCTACTCATTTCCTGTTCCTCCTGTCCTCTTCAATACTTTTGAGAAACTGACTGTTCTCTTTCTGACAGATTCAAGGAGCATAAAAGTAGTGTTAGGCTTGCTGACACCAGCAATGCTCTTTTCTGTCATGTCAGAGATCACAGTCATCCTACTGACTGGTCTCCTGCTAAAAACATTTACCCTACTTCTAACTTTCACAACTGCCATCTGGTTGAATTCTCCCTTATACACAACTTTCCTTGTATGAATTTTAGTCATGGCTTTATCTCTCTAGATGCCTTCCTTTCCCATTACAATGTAAAATGCTCCAAACTTCAGAACACCCGTGACCTAACCTGATTCTTTTTCCCCTTCTCCCTCTTCCCCTTTCCTCTTTCTCCTTTGGGTTTTCTTTCTTCTGCCTTGGGTGTTTGGTCCATTATTATTATTCCCCTCCCCCTATGTTCTCATTCCTACCCTTTGTGGGACCCTAGCTCCCTTGCAGTGCTCCTCTTTCTTAGTCTTTTACTGACTCCACTATTACTACTACCTCTACCACTACCTCTCTTCTTCTTTTCCTACTTACCTCTCTTGCCCCATCCCTGTCTGTTGGCTTATATATACCCCCTCCTTCTCTCCTTTTTGTTAGTGTGACTTTGTAAATGATCAAAGTCAGACCGAAATGTTGTCATAAGCTCCTCTCTCCTATGTGTGGGTTATTCATGTATTGTTCCAGCCACAGTATTGTGCCTTTTTGATATTTAAGAGAAGTGTAAGTACATGAGTCAGAGAGCAAGGCTTCAGCTTCAAGAGGTAATCTTCACGATCAAGGATAATCACCAAATTGCCTTTGTCAGAAGAGAGGATGACAATTTTGGTATTAGATTTAAGAGAAGAAAGGGCATGTTGATAGCATCAAGGAAGGTGGTAATTCTTAGACAACAGGCTATCAAAAGCAGGAAGGAGAGCACCATGAAAGGTCGACAGGTCAGAAAGATTCCTGTCATCAGCTCCTCTCTCCTATGTGTTTACTGTTTGTGTATTGTTTCAGTCACAGTATTGTGCCTTGCTGTTCTTCACCATTTCTCATCCACAACTTCACATTGACAGAAAACACACATCAGCAAATTCCATGGGCATAGAGAGTAATATGATGTTCGATGGTGACGAATTCTGGCTGTTCAAATATGGAAAGAATGAAGAATTAAAATTGAGCACTGGATACAAAATGCAAGAATATCATCTAGAACAAAAGGAACATACACATAAAAGACTTGGGTTCAAGTCTGACAACCCGTCTGACAACCCATCAATTATAAAACACAAAGTAATCCCACAAAGGCCAGAAAAAATGACAAAATGATAATGAAAATTTTCAAAACAAGACAGCGTCAAGGAACAATTTTTTTTTTAAGCCATAAGAAGATGGCAAAAGAAAAAAGGGAAAGGATTAAGATAGAACAGAGCAACAGTAAATGAGAAGTTAAAGGTAAGAAAAATTATGTAGCCTGACCACTATGGGTGGGTTTCCATTTTTTTTCTTTTTTTTTTTTGTCACATCTGAGAGCTACAAAATGTACCAAGATCATTTACTGCCTGAATAGAGCAGATGACGTTTTTAACCCTTTCGCTGTCAGTCCCGTAATATTACAGCTTGCAAGCCAGTCTCAGTCCTGTAATACTATGTCAAAATTCTAGTGGCTTCCAATCTTGCAGGATATAGCTGGTAGGCCTACATATGAGAGAATGGATCTGAGTGATCAGTGTGTGCAGTATAAAAAAAAAAATCCTACAGCACACAGTACATAATGAAAAAAAAAAAAAACTCTGACCATGTTTTTGGTTTAAAACAGTGTGTTTGTGGTGTATATTCATAGGGTATTTATGATTGTATTCTCATTTTCTTGGTCTCATTTGATAGAATGGAAGACATATTACAGAAATAGAGATGATTCTGAATGGCTTACAGACTGAAAGTACCTTGAAATTGAGCTCAATATAGCAGAAATGTTAAATTTTTTGCCGATGTTCAAGATTAAATAAATCATGTCACACGTAAAATACACATCAACTGGTGGGTCTAATATGTTTTCACAAATGCAGTGATATTATTTATACCATTTATACAATAATGCAGTAATCAGCATAACAGTAAATCTTTTATTTTTTGTGTGAATAAAAATTCAAAATGGAAAGCAAGCATAATATAAGAGGGGCCTGAGACGTGACTAATGAACAGAAAAAATGTTATTTTAGTGCTAGGAATGTTTGCATTGTTATTTCTTGACCCTATTTTGAAACTGGCACTCCATGAATTTTGTATGAATTTGGCCAAATTACCAATTTCTGATCACTTTACTGGGTAGTTGAAATAGGTAAATGGGCAGTTTCTTGTACTCAATCAACAGAACAAAAGGAGTTCTAGTGAAATAGCTATGAATTTGGTTGACTGGAAGAATGGAACTGGCTGAAAATAGGGCTCAGAGTGGGTGAAATCACCAATGCATGAATATTGCTGAGACCTCTAACTTTGCGAGAGAGTAATTCTGTAAGTTTTCCATAAAATTTCATACTTTTCATTTCATTACCACCAGGAAAAGATTCTCTATCATTTCATAAGAAAAAAACTTTTTTTCTTTTAATTCTTTGACAGTGAGAGCAAGTTTGCAAGCAGAGGTCTCAACAATGAAAGGGTTAAACTACTTGGAATGCCTCAAAACACTTGGAATGTACTCCCTAGAATAAAGGAGAGAAAGATTACTGGAAGATTACTCAAAAACAACTCTGAGGTCCACTGTCTCTATGCTCCAGTCCCTGATTAGGCCTCCGGACTGATGGCCTGGTCAACCAGGCTTTTGATGCTAGTGGCACAGAGTCCAACATACTGTAGTTGAAAAGTTTTGGCCCCCTTTACACTAACTGAGCTATCTTTTAGGACACTCATAGCACCTCTGCTTTTCATTGGGAATATTCTGAATCATCTGCCAAACTTTTTGTTATTTATTTTTTTTTTTCAACAAGTCGGCCGTCTCCCACCGAGGCAGGGTGACCCAAAAAGGAGCAATTCCAGCAGGCAGATTAGGGATCATACCTTTCAGAATATACCCAGTGTAAATAACAATTCATCTTTCTTGCCTACATATCATACACTGTACATGCAAGATACTTGAGGGCTTAATCCCAAACCCACACACTATCATAATTTACCAGAGTAAGAATTATGGGAGGAAATGTAAATTAAACCTAGTGAAAAGAAGGAAGGAGCCATGGCCCAAGACTCTTCAACCCATTACCACTAGATATTAAATATATTGCCAGGACTAGAGTAGACATCTTGAATAAGAAAGTGGACCACAACTTCCACAAAATGCCAGATCAACCAGGTTGTAATGGCTATGAGAGCTAGTAGACTGGCAACAGCCACAGCCTGGTTGAACAAGCCAGTAAGAGAGAAGATTGGCCTTTGGCCAATATGCAAGGAGAGAAAAAAGCATAACTGGTCACAGGTATCCAAATCACACAATAATGTATTAAATAAATTTTTTTAGCTTGATTACACATTACCTAAACTCCAGAGGTCACTACGGTTGTCATATGTTGCTTCAGGGTTTTCATCACAGGCAATAACTTCTGGGGCCATCCAATATGGAGTGCCAATAAATGTATTCCGTCTTCCTATAGTCCTATCCAACTGGGCACTAACACCAAAATCAACTGGAACAAGAAATACATTTAAACTTCAGACATACATCACAGTAAAATTACCATGGCTGTGGTAAATAAAATTAACTGAATAAAGTTAAAATATTCTAAGATATACAAACTGTACTTCCAAGTTCTAACAATACAAACATACATTGTACGTCAAACATTGCATTAATATTGGGAAATATGAACCATTATCTCCATGGGGAAGCGGAACAGAATTCTTCCTCCATAAGCCATGAGTGTCGCAAGAGACAATTAAAATGCCAGGAGCAAGAGGCGAGTAACCCCTTCTCCTGTATACATTATTAAATTTAAAAAGAGAAACTTTTGTTTTTCTGTTTAGGTCACCCTGCTTCAGTGGGATATGGCCGGTTTGAAAAAAAAAAAAATGAACCATTATGTAAAATGAAGAAAATTTTTATCTTCCAAATGGTATAATGTTTGGCCATCTCAAAGAGCTTTTTATGTAACTTGTTATATGTAGCTCATTAATGATCTATTAGAATTAAATATTCTATATAACATACTCATGTAAAGGGTCTTCATAAAAACAAATATTTTACATAATTATCAAGTAAAAATCAACTACAGCTTTAGACTGGTGTAAGTTAGTGAGGAGAGATGGTGAATGCATAAAGGAAGGTAGGAAGGAGGGAGAGAAAGTAGTGGAAGAGAGGTGGAAGAAAGGAGTGGGGAGTGAGGACAAGGAAGAGGGAGGAGGAACAGGAACAGGAAAAGTAAGATGAGGAGAGATGAGGAAGAAAAAGGGGAGGAAGGATGAAGAAGAGGTGAGAAGAGAAGGGAGAAAGAAAACAGAGGCAGAGGAAAGAGAGGAGGAAGAGAGGAAAAAGAGGCATAGGAAAGAGGGGAGGAAGAAAGGAAAAAGATGCCCAAGGAGGAGGGCGAGAGGAGGAAGAGGACAATTACATACTACATACACAATATGTAAATGGATATTTACTGTATTATTAATATCACAGTATACCACAACAAGTGTCAAGCAGTGTTTCTTAATTATAAAACACAACATTTAAATAGCCTATCCACATTTCAAGGATACAAGTTTAATGTCAACCAGAAAATGTTTATAATAAAATAAAATTACAGTAGACCGTCATTTAGCATAAATTTATTTGGCACAATTTGGATATAGCACGATTGAAAAATTGCTGCACAATTTTAGGTAACATGTCGTAAAATTAACTTAACACAGTTTGCGGGAGGGGAAAAAATTTTGAGAGCGCAGGCACCCAGTCGCCCGTGGTGGGTTACACCACTGAGTCCATGGGGGAGACCTACCGCCATCCTCCCGTCATCCTCAGCCACCCACTTTCACCCACACCACCTCTCAGCCTTTAGTACAGTTCATATGCATGTAGGACGACAATACTCGGGAACCTCGCTGTGTTTATATACATACATCGTACATATTTTCATTGCCATTTGTTAAATCTGCCAAGCAATCATGGCACCAGTAAGCATACAAGTGTTGCTGAAAGTGGCAAGAAAAGGTTTAAGTGTTGAAGTCTAGGAATTACAAAGAAAACTGAGATATTAGATAAGCTTAAGAGTGGCTCACATGTGATGAATATAGTGAGGGCCTATGGCCTTAATGAAGCATCAGTTCGTACAATTAAAAAGAATGAAGCGAATATATGAGCTTGTGTAATGAATAACCCAAGATGTCATCTCATGAAAAGAATGATACGTAGGTCCCAACAAGTAAATAAAATAGAAAACTTGTTGGTCAAGTGGATCGAACAAAAAACAAAGAAAGGTGCACCATTTAATTTTGTCTTAATTAGGGAAAAGGCCTTACAGTTGTTTAAAGCAGTGTGTGATAAGGAAGAGAGGCCTGAAAAAGTGTGTTTTTAGCACAGGCTGGTTCAACAACTAAGTTGCATAATAAGTTACATAATATTAAATTTTCCGGTGAAAGTGCTTCAGCTGATCATACAGCAGCAAGTAATTTCCCTGTTGAATTAAAGAAAATTATTTCTGAGGGTGGCTATGAGCCACATCAAGTGTTTAATGCTGATGAGACAAGTGTTTTGTGGAAAAAAAATGCCAACATGAACTTATACCAGTCAGCAAGAGAAGAGTGCACCCGGTTTCAAGACAGCAAAGGATCGCTTCACCTTGCTCCTTTGCAGTAATGCATCAGGTGATTTCAAGTGTAAGCCCATGGTTATTTACCACTCTAAGAATCCTCGTGCTTTGAAAGGTGTTTATAAAAACACCTTACCAGTAATTTGGAGGTTAAACTAGTCAGCATGGATGACAGAGGAAATATTTATTGACTGGTTTAAGCATCACTTTATTCCTGAAGTCAAGTTTTACCTACACAGCAAGAACCTTGAATTCAAGGCACTATTCATCCTTGATAATTCCCATACTCATCCACAAGCTTTGCTGGATGTGACCCCATGTGTAAAAGTTGTATTTTTACCTACAAATACAACATCTCTAATTCAACCACTGGATCGGGGAGCTATTAAATCATTCAAGTGTAACTACTCTAGGTAGTAGGTTGGTAAACAGCAACCGCCCAGGGAGGTACTACCGTCCTGCCAAGTGAGTGTAAAACGAAAGCCTGTAATTGTTTTACATAATGGTAGGATTGCTGGTGTCCTTTTTTCTGTCTCATAAACATGCAAGATTTCAGGTATGTCTTGCTACTTCTACTTACACTTAGGTCACACTACACGTACATGTTTTTTTTTGTTTTCAACAAGTCGGCCATCTCCCACCGAGGCAGGGTGACCCAAAAAGAAAATACTCTCATCATCATTCAACACTTTCACCTCACTCACACATAATCACTGTTTTTGCAGAGGTGCTCAGAACACAACAGTTTAGAAGCATATATGTATGAAGATACACAACATATCCCTCCAAACTGCTAATATCCTAAAATCCCTCCTTTAGAGTGCAGGCATTGTACTTCCCATTTCCAGGACTCAAGTCCGGCTATATAAAAATAACCGGTTTCCCTGAATCCCTTCACTAAATATTACCCTGCTCACGCTCAACACATCGTCAGGTCCCAAATACCATTCGTCTCCATTCACTCCTATCGAACACGCTCATGCACGCCTCCTGGAAGTCCAAGCCCCTCGCCCACAAAACCTCCCTTACCCCTTCCTTCCAACCTTTTTGAGGATGACCTTAATCCCACCTTCCTTCTCCTACAGATTTAAATGCTCTCCATGTCATTCTACTCTGATCCATTCTCTCTGAATGACCAAACCACCTCAACAACCCCTCTTCAGCCCTCTGGCTAATACTTTTATTAACTCCACACCTTCTCCTAATTTCCACACTCCGAATTTTCTGCATAATATTTACACCACACATTGCCCTTAGACAGGACATCTCCACTGCCTCCAACCACCTCCTCGCTGCTGCATTCACAACCCAAGCTTCACACCCATATAAGAGTGTTGGTACTACTATACTTTCATACATTCTCTTCTTTGCCTCCATAGATAACGTTTTTTGACTCCACACATACCTCAACGCACCACTCACCTTTTTCCTTCATCAATTCTATGATTAACCTCATCCTTCATAAATCCATCCGCCGACACGTCAACTCCCAAGTATCTGAAAACATTCACTTCTTCCATACTCCTCCTCCCTAATTTGATATCCAAGTTTTCTTTATCTAAATCATTTGATACCCTCATCACCTTACTCTTTTATATGTTCACCTTTCAACTTTCTACCTTTACACACACTCCCAAACTCATCCACTAACCTTTGTAATTTTTCTTTAGAATCTCCCATAAGCACAGTATCATCAGCAAAAAGTAACTGTGTCAATTCCCATTTTGTATTTGATTCCCCATAATTTAATCCCACCCCTCTCCCAAACACCCTAGCATTTACTTCTTTTACAACCCCATCTATAAATATATTAAACAACCATGGTGACATTACACATCCTTGTCTAAGACCTACTTTTACCGGGAAGTAGTCTCCCTCTCTTCTACACACCCTAACCTGAGCCTCACTATCCTCATAAAAACTCTGTACAGAATTTAGTAACTTACCACCTATTCCATATACTTGCAACATCTGCCACATTGCTCCTATATCCACTCTATCATATGCCTTTTCTAAATCCATAAATGCAATAAAAACTTCCCTACCTTTATCTAAATACTGTTCACATATATGCTACAATGTAAACATTTGATCTGCATAACCCCTACCCACTCTGAAACCTCCTTGCTCATCCGCAATCCTACATTCTGTCTTACCTCTAATTCTTTCAATAATAACCCTACCATACACTTTTCCTGGTATACTCAATAAACTTATTCCTCTATAATTTTTACAATCTCTTTTGTCCCCTTCCCTTTATATAAAGGGACTATACATGCTCTCTGCCAATCCCTAGGTACCTTCCCCTCTTTCATACATTTATTAAACAAAAGTACCAACCACTCCAACACTATATCCCCCCTGCTTTTAACATTTCCGTCATGATCCCATCAGTTTCAGCTGCTTTACCCCCTTTCATTCTACGTAATGCCTCACGTACCTCCCCCACACTTACATTCTGCTCTTCTTCACTCCTACAAGATGGTATACCTCCCTAGCCAGTGCATGAAATTACCACCTCCCTTTCTTCCTCAACACTTAAAAGTTCCACAAAATATTCTCGCCATCTACCTAATACCTCCCTCTCCTCATCGACTAACTCCCCTACTCTGTTTTTAACTGACAAATCCATATGTTCACTAGGCTTTCTTAACTTACCATACCCCCGGCCGGGATTGAACCCGCGGTCATAGAGTCTCAAAACTCCAGCCCATCGCGTTAGCCACTAGACCAGCTAGCCACAATAAGATTCATCCAACTAGGTGTATTTCTACACCATAGGAAGGTTAGCACAGGCACCTCTGTGACCACAAATGCAAGTTTTTTACAGACGAATCTCCAGCTAGCGTGGTCGTGAAGAACTCTAGCTCAAGTCCCTTCACTGCCGTCAACATGAC